CCCACTCAAAAATTAGTGTCATTAAATACACGAATAGCGAGGGAGATTCATGTCACACCTTTTTTAATGTTAAAGTCCTCTGCTGCTCAATTTTCATACTCTTCTAATGTAGACATTTTAGTTTAAAATACAGTAATGTCCCCAAGGAACCGTAGACTGCAAAACACAGAGACAATACAGAATAGTACAGTTTTGTATTTATGTTTTTGACTGGAAGCCATCTTAATCTCAAATATTTATTCTCAGAAAAACACCCCTTCTTAATAGTTCATTTTAATGACATCCTCCAAAAACTGTATTATCTTCATCCTCCTTCTTTTCTAAAATGCTCTTTGTGGAGAAGCAAATCAGAATTTGTTTGCTAGGGTTACTTTTCAATTGGTTCATTATTAACAGGTGTACCATGTGTTTTCTAGAGGTGTGTAATTTCCTGTTTGTAGTTTCTGATTTAATTAACTACATCTGCTTGCGGTTGAAACAGAGTGATGTATATAAGCAGATTCTATGAGCATTTGTAGAGGAGATAAAAATACAAATGCTCCCTTACTTATCGTTGTTTAGCGAATATTACTGGTTATCATTTCTCAATGCTCAGGAATGTCCACAGTATGTTCACTAGGTCTGGGTCAGGAATTCTCTTGCTACAGCCCATGATGCTGTTTAAGGTGGGATAGAATCGGGCAGAACTGTGTACTGCTTTTTGTTTTTCTTGACTGCCACCATACTAATGTTGTGGCAGGGGAGAAGCAGCTGAGAACTGCATGCCTTGGGAGCATCTGCAGGTGCTGTGAGCTCTGCTGGAGATGCTTCTCCCAGGCCTGCAGGTCCTGCTGAGCGTGAAAGGGCCTGCTGCAAGACAACGTCCTGAGTAATAAAGGGTCTTCACAGCACAGAGACTGTATGCCTCTAGCATCAACAGCAGGCAAAGTTGATACTCCTCTGAGTTTTTGTTTTCAGTACAAAATCAGCCTTTCAGATTCTTTTTGAATTAGGAAGGCAAGAAGAGCTGGGAGCCAGGATTTTCTGCGCATATAAAACAAGATAGCACCAGTAAAGTTACCTGCAGCATCTTGGCTTTGTGTAAAGGCAAAGATGTTTGCCTGAAGTCCAAAACTCAGCAACAACCAGGAGGTGCTGCCTTGAAAAGGCCAGATCCCACTTCTGTGAAAGCAGTAAAGCCTTGTTCCCAGCCTCTTTTGACTTTATAACTCAAGGAAGGAATATACCTGCAAAAGGGCTTGTCAATAGAGGCGTCTAGTTCCCTGCTTTGTGGTTTTAAAATGCAGTGATATGCACATTTGCAGCTTTTAAGGTAGATAAAGTAAAAGTACTATTTCCTCCATCAACTCAGTCTTGCAATATTTTCTCATTCAGCAAAAGAATTGTCTGTCATTTTTTTCCTTTTGATCATAAATTTTCATGGGAAGGAAGGAAGAAAATAAAGCTTTTCTCTACAATTGGTAGACCTCCACAGATGTTTAAGTAAAGCTGTTTAAGTAGAATTAAAGTAAATGGAGTAACACTAATTTTTGAGAGACAAGTTCTAGTTCCTTGAACTGGCCCTGAAGCAGCTGATTACTTGTTTCGTGTTCTTAATATAATCTTGAAGTTCTGTTTATTAGGTTTCATTGAAGATTTCCTGTTCTTGTTTTCCAATGAGATTACAAAATTTTTTGTTCCCATATAAGTCAGACATGGGACTGCCTATTAGCTGTTCAATGGCTACTACTTTTCAACTTGCCAAATGTGAAAGTAAGCAGTAGTATCATTCTCACAGTTAGATGATCATAAAAATGAATTTATTACCAGAATCTGATTATGGCTTCATAAAACAGAAAGGTAATGATTTGATGCCTGCACCTATTACAGTTGGTTAAAATTTGTATTTTCATAGCCCCCCAAAACTCAGATAGAGAGTGCAGCCTTGTTAAACTAAGTACAATCCTAACGTTTAACAGAAAGTCTTAAAATAGTAAGTTAAGGAAACATAAACCAAGTATCAACAAACAACATGTAAGCAGTGACTTCAGTAAATGAAATTGCTCAATGAATAGCCTCAGTCCTGAGTTAGACAGCATGATTGCTGTGCAAATATAACATGTCTCTGGAGTCGTTGATAATCTTATGATTAGAGGAGAAGTAATTTCTCTTGTTGAACTCTGAATTGTACTTTAAACTTGGGTGATTCCAGTAGAACCTATAGCTTTTGTTCCTAGATGCAGAAATCTCAATGTAGCTATTTGCATTGTGTTTATTACCCAATGTCTACTAATGCCTGTAACTGTACTTGTGGCACACTCTTGTCTTTGGATCCTGAGAATACTCCATGCTTTTCACTCGCTAATCTCAAGGCACAGGACAGCTCGTATTTGATTTGGCATCCATCTGTGCTGTTTCTTGTTAGCTGGAGTCTGTGTTGCTAAGCAATACAGGCTCTTTTCTATCAGGCATAAGCTTCTGTTTCTGCAACTTCAGGGCTTTTGGAATGAAACTGAAATTTTAAAATAAACAGGCACCTTGTCATTTGGTAAATACATTTTAAAGATCGTTTATGTTTGTAGTGTATTAAGGTGAGGCCTCTGTTGCCTAAGCAGTTCTCTGGTGGGTGGGATTGCATCCTTGATGGCTGCTTTCATGTGCATTGGTTTCCTTGGTGTGATGTCAACTGGGATAAAATATGCAGCTGACTCAGAGGAGTTGCAGCAGAGCTTCAGAAGGGCCTAGAAGAGACCTCTAAAGCAAACTGGAAGAACAGCAAAAGCTGCACAAGATGAGTGCAGAGCTTATACATGTATGTTAAGTGACAGGTGAAATGAACTTTAAGGCTATGAAAGACTGGAAAGGAGAGGGGAATACAATAAAGGAGTCAGAATTCAAACCTGTGCCTCATGGCTGTGGAATTATTACACCATGGCCCAAGGCATCAGTATTTCAACACAGATATTTCAAGGCTGTGTTAGGGGGTCCCTGAGAGCAGATGAATGACCTGTGTGCAGCCATTGCTATTTGTAACCTTCCTCTTAAGTATCCATCCCACAAAACCTTCCTAGTGCAAAAAATGAATGAATATGGTGGAAACTGTTGCTAAGACATGGTAAAGTTGATGGTCCGAGTAAGTTCAGAGTAGAGTGGAAAATATTTCACTCTTCCCAAACTTTATCTTTTTCTACCTTTGGCACAGCTCTAGAAGTAATTTGTTGATATGGTGCTGTGTAGAAAACACAAGCTATGTTCAGATGAAGAGTCAAACAGGTTGTATATAATGTGTTGCAGGCTGTGTTTTCTTGCCTTATTTCTTAAAGAAAGAAGACTTAATGCTATTCCTCTTTCTGGCCATGTCCTTGATGCTTTTTGACCTGATGGCCAACTTCAGGCATGTTTGACAGGAGAATAGATGTTGGGAAAGAAGTAATACAATGAAAGAGTATCTGGAAAGAGGGGAGGGACGCAACTTAATGACCCTTTTTGGAGAGAAGACACATCATTAGGACAGAGGAGCTGTGTTTTGACCTACCTGCTCCTCTGGCACATGACCACTGGCGAGTTGTGGCAAGAGACAGGACAGGATGTGCAGCCACCTGCTCTGAGCCACAGAGGAACAAACTGATAGGGGCTGAGAAGAAGGGAACCATGGGGATAGGGAGAGAAGGGAGTTGAAGGTTGCAAGATAGAAAGAAGTTGTCAGAGAGAATATGGGTGAAAATAAAGAATGTAAAACTTAAATATGTGGAAAAGCAAGGTTGTCTGGTCCTAGACCATGTGAAACAACTTGTGTTGAAATCAAATAAGAGGGGCAGTAAAGTGGGGGTTTGTTTTGGTTTATTATTTCTGTTTTTCAGTCTTCAGTTTTAGCTAAGATATTGCTTTTTTTTTTTTTTTTCAGGTCTTGATTTTATCCGGGCTGAAGGGTTTGTGTTCTCTCATGTTGCTGATGAAGGGATTATAAATGCCTGTGCAGGTAACCTGCTACGATACAGAAAACAAGTTGGAGCAGAGAACATTCAGATTTTCGCTGATATTAAAAAGAAACATAGGTAAATATAAGCAATATTTTATGTAAATATGAATGAAATAATGATCTTACATTTTTGTCTGTTGTCTGATTTTTTTTTTTAATGCTTATGTAGTATCAGGAAAGTTAATGATATAGGGAGAAATTTATTGTTCAAGCAAGGTCTTGCAATGCTATTAGGGGATATGTTTAAAAATAAATTTGCACCTGTAAGCTGCAGGTTGCTGCACCTGTGAAGTTTGCAGTTGTTTAATCTTCAGTATTTATAAATGCAGACTGTAAAAGTTTTACATCTGGTATCAAGTGAGATTTTGATGCTTGTGCATATGCCTGTGATGTTTAAAGAAATTTTGTTTCTGGAGGCTAGGCATCCAATGTTATTTTTAGTTATGCAAGCGATTGCCATATAAAAGCATCCAAATCATAATATTTTGGCGTTTTAAAAAACTATTCTCTTTTTTTCTCTTTCCTGCCAATAATACTGGTTTCTTCTACTTAAATCAGTGCTGTCTATGTACGGATTATGTTCTGTGATTATCAAACAGAAGGGACTTATGACAGATGAATGCAGTTTCTTTTCTGCTGATACTTTATCATAACTGTCACATGATACTTTCAGCTATTTAGATATCACTCTTTGGTTTTTTTTCCACCTAGAAGAACTGCTGAAGTGTTATGTATTATACATGCTAAATAACCTAATTAAAATATTTGTGTGTAGTATGTGGGTAATCATGAGAATAACTAAGTCTGGAAGATTTTAAATACCTAAAAACCAGGTAATAAATTTCAAAATAGAAAGGAAACAGTGCAGTGTGGTCAATTTAAGCTTTTAAGATCCTTTCAGAGTAATTTTTTTCTAATGATTTCTTTTTATATATGCATATACATATATGTATGCATATATAAATAAACAGAATACATTGCATTAGACTTTTTTGTAGAAAATTGCATCATGGGATCTTATTTTTTTTGTCTTGACAATTGATTAATTGATATTTGAATGACAGTTGGTGAGTTGGTACTTGATCAACAATTGCTGTTGTTCAAAGAGTTTGCTTTTTAAGAAAGAAGTTGTTTTTGTTTCAGGCAGATTCGTAAGCTCATAAGGAAATGTTAAAGGACTTGTTGGTTGAGTTTTTTAATGCAGAGAAATATACCTGCCACTGAGAGCTGCTAGCCTCCTGTTCTTCAAATGGAGAGAAACTATTTTGGTAGTCCACTTGCTGTGTTATGGCTACCCTCCACGTGCTGGTTTCAGTGCCTACTACTCTTAAGCCCTATTTCAACCTCATTGAATGTATTGGGTACTTAGACCTGCCTTCCTCCAGCTGCAGAAAGGAAGTTAGTGTACTTCTGTCTGCATCCATCGCCTTGAGTGGAATGCACTGCACACACATGCTGCCTCTGAGTATGTCCAGAGCATGCCCCCCACAAGAGTTGTCCATCCAGGCTGATCCAGGAAAGAGGCTGGCTCCATCACCACTCATCAGTGCAGCATGTTGGCCGTAGTCAATGTTTTCTACTTAAATGGAAACACAGAAAGAACAAAGTCAGGTGTTGAACCAGCAATGGCTGGAATTCTTTCAAAGTTCAGAACTGTTTAAGTTAAAAGCTGCTGTTGCTATAGGTTTCAGACAAAGCGCATCACCCTTATATCAAAGACTGCTGTTGAAAAGCTAGGTTGCAGGTAATTGATGTTTGTAACTGCTGTGTAAGATGATTCCTGTGATTATATCATAGGTAATAACTATACTTTCTGTTAGTTGGACTTTGTGAAATGAAGTGGAGGGTGTTAATTCTGTTCTAGGCAACAGCATCTGATTTATGAATGAGTGCACATTCACAACTCCCACTTGAAGTCAGAGAGCTATGTGTGCTCAACACTTCTGAAATACAGGTGCTCGACATGCAAGCAGCTGTCTCAATTGACACTTGGTAGCTCACACTTAGCAATCACTCTTTAGAAACAGGAGACCCAGAGCACTAGACCAGTAGGTTGTGGTTCCCTGATGGAAAAGGTTGGGTTATTCCTCTTGTTAGTGTTGCAATTTTACTTCCCGTTTTAAAACAGGGCACTTACCCTCTCTCACAAAGCCTGCCTCTGGTTTTTCTGACGGCAGGGAAGATGAAGAAATGCAGTCTAAACATTCAACAAGATGGATAACAAATGTATGTGCTGACAGTAACCACAGGGTACGTTCCTGCTGTTTCCAGTGCTCACGCTCTGACGGCAGATGTCAGCGTGGCCGAGACCGCGTCAGCTGCCGAGCTCTTCCTGGCTGATGGGGTTGTACTGACTGGCACGGCTACCGGATTGCCCGCGAATCCTCAGGAGCTGAAAGGTGAGAGCTGTCATAGGAAGGTCGGACAACAGGCAGTGAATCAGCTTCTGGATTAATGTAGAAAGAAATCTATGTATCTGCTGCTCCTTAAGGAAAAAAAAGAGGGAAGAAGATGAAACTCTCACTGTAGGGTTTGTTTTGATACTGCAGAACTAGTGTGATTGAGGTGCTATTCTGGTTGGCTGTTGTATGTTTCTAAACAATAATTTGGTGGGACAAAAATTAAAATTATTTCAGGCTGAATGGTGAATAACGTTGAATGATGCTGAGGCTTAAATGAAAAAAGTGTAAAAATGTATGAAAAAATGTATGTAAAATATGGAAAAAAAATGACTGTTTCTAAAAAGTCTTAATATAAGAAAAAGCTGCTTTATAGCTTTATTAGAAAACTAACTAACTATAAATCTTTCCATTGAAGAGTTAAGCATTTTTATCTTTCACAAAGAAAAATGGAAGTCCTGCAAGCAAAGAGGTGTTTTGATAAGGCAACATTCCAAACAGGAATATCAGGGAAAATACTGCTTAGAAAATTTTCAGGAAAAATACAAGTTCATTGGTAGATAGAAAGATATTACATCAAAATAATTTTTAAATGATGTAGACTTTTTGTCAAGGGAAAGTCATTTGACCTATGAGCTTTGACCTTTACAATAGTTTTATGATTCTTCATATTTTTATATTGGCATAAGTTTGGGCAGTCTTCATGAAAATGATTGCTCCCATGCTAGAATTAAAGTTCTATCATGGGGGCATTTGATTTTCGTCACTAATTTTAATTTATATTAATGGCTTGAATTTCATAGATTTCATAGATTTCTAGGTTGGAAAAGACCTTAGAGATCATCCAGTCCAACCGTCCCTAATCTCCCATTAAACCGTATCCTTAAGTAGTTCATCCACCCTTTTCTTAAACACATCCAGGGATGGGGACTCAACCACCTCCCTGGTCAGCCTATTCCAGTGGCTGACAACCCTTTCAGAGAAGAAATACTTCCTAACATCCAACCCGAATCTGCCCTGACTAAGCTTATACCCATTT